TTTTTAAATTTAACTTGTTTGAGAAGTATTTATAAATAGATAAATATAAGAGGTAGATAGGTGATACTGCTTATAATCCACAAAATATGAATAAATAGTAATTTGAATATTTATAAAAATGTTTATAAACGTGAGCCTTAGGTTTGCATTCACATTTCTTTCCCATTTTCACAAGCTCTCCAATTTTAAACTCTTTGCATATTTGCAATTGTATATGTAAGTGAAAATTTAGAAGTTACGCCAATTTTCGATCATTTACAAGTTATATTTATACAATGATTTTTGTCAAGTATATCACATTCTAATTGTAATGAGGGTTCTCGACTTTTGCTTATCTTTGCACGTACGTTCTCCAATTTTTTCATCATAATTTTATAATCAAACTTTTATGAATTATCACATCTTGTTCCTGATAAAGACTAAAAATTCATCTAGGATAAAGTAATAAAACCATATTTGGAGTCTGTTTGGTACAGATTCTCATTTACTACAGTAAATCAATTTTCATTTTTAACCACACATTATTCAATAAAATAATATTTTCCATCACATCAATACTTTTTTCTTCTTTTTCAACCACACATTTCCAATCATATCATTATTCAAAAATCAATTCTTCCTCCAAAAATCCATACCAAACACACTTTTGATAAATAATAAATATAAAATTTTGTTTCCTTACTTTGGACAAAAATGATCATTACAGATAAGATATTAGCATCAGTTGAAAGTTAAAGATTGCAAAAAAAAAAAAAATGTTTGGCTTAACTGCAAAAATGAGCAAAAATTTAAAATTTTTCATTACAATTAAAATAGGATGCAGTTAGCAAAAATTGTTGTGTAAATATACTTATCCTCATTTAAAAGGTCTTCTTCTTAGGATACTAAACTAAATTGACCTAGTAAATACTGGAATAATTGATACAAAATATCTGTAATCTTTGGCTTTATTGTGGAATACCTCAATCCTTTCATTTTGTCGGAAAATTCCCCTATATGACATTTAACATTTTCTTTGCAGAATACAATATTTTTCTTCCATTTTCAATATGAAATCTTGTTAAATAACGAATACAACATCCTATTTAAATAAAACAAAACAAAAGAAAAATAAAGAATTAATTGTAATCGTTGTGTCATTTTTTTTTTAAATGCAAACGAGTCCCAACTAAATAATTAAAAAGTTAAATGGAAGCATAAGTTAGCTTTTATGTTTTATTAATAAATTAATTAAATAAATAAAATTTTCACTATATTTTATTTCTTTTATATATAATATTATTAACATATAAGTTAATTTTTATTTTCAATAAATTTATTATAATTACTAAAAAATGTAAACGAGTTCCAAATAAATAATTAAAAGATTAAATAGAAGAATAAGTTAGTTTTTATATTTTATTTAAAGATTAAATAAATAAAATTTTCACTATATAATTACTAAAAAATGCAAACGATTCCCAAATGAATAATTAAAAAATTAAATGGAAGCATAAGTTAGTTTTTATATTTTATTTAAAAATTAAATTAAATAAACAAATAAATTCTTCACTATATTTTATTTCTTTTATTTATAATATTATCGACGTATAAATTAATTTTTATCTTGTATTACATTTTCAATGAATTTATTATAATTACTATATAGTGTGTGTGTGTGTGTAAATCAAATGAACAATAACAATATTTCCAATCATATTATCGACAATTATCAATAAGGGTGTTCGTCTGTTAAGCGTTGACATGTGATGGTTGAAAGGATGACAAAGAAACAAAGGCAAAGGTGAAGGAGAAGGCGAAGGTAGAAAGACTGTATTCTTTTCCTGACATTGTGATAAACATCAGGATTAACCACGTCATTTCCAAAATATCCACATGGCATTCGTTGCCACCCTGATGCCTACGTGGAGCATTTTTAGGATTTAGAGTGTAACAGGTTGCAAAAGAAGGAAAACTAGTAAAGGTGAATGACCATCAACTTCTTACATAACCTCATCTTATGCAAATTCTCACGTGTCACATAAAACAATATTCACCCTCGATGTGCAAACAATTGCGAGATGACTCATCTCACAAAAATTGCACTTACTAAGTAAAACAAAAAAGTATAATCCAATCATTTAAGTTAACATTCTTCTCCAAATCATGACCTAATAGTGTACAAAACAACCATTTTGAATACTATCAAAGTGCATATGATATTAACTAGCTAGAAAAATTATTTCCAAGAAAAAGCTATCTACTACTTTTTCATCAACTTGGCCATGATTATTCCCCTCCTTATCCTCCTAGCTTCAGCAAATTTGGTCCTTCCCAACTGTCTCCTCAACAGGGAGGTTCAAATCAGGGCAATTAAATTTCTCTCTTGTTTCTACTGTTTGACTTACAATCAGCGACTGTCGACGATCCAAAACAAAATCCATCCCATTTATTACATGCACAAAGAGGGAAAAACAAAACGTAAGTATTTGAATAAAAAATAATTTCCTCACCAAAAAAAGTTGATAAAATCAAAGAAAACAAAAACCCATAAAAAAAAATCATATGAAAACATATTATATTCTTGAAAAATACCCTTTTTGTGGAATTTTTCTAGTTAATTTTTCATCACATTCACTAGCTATGGAGAAAATTGTTATTAAACGATGGTATTACGTTTATACTGGATCTTTTTCTATGGCAAGCCGATTTTGATGTTGATCGTGATTCAGAAAGGCTGATCAAATTACCAAGATCAAGCAAAATTTCAGCCACTTCAATTTCATCATCTGTGAAGCCTCTCTCTCGAACCAGTTTCATCTTGTTTGTCTCTAACCTCACCGTATTTTCCTCCAAATTTTATAGATTTTGTTCTTTAATCCTCCCCAAGAATTGAAGAATAAAGATATATCGAGTTATGGTTACAGGGATTTGGAAGTTTTATAGATTTTGTCCTTGATTCCTATCCAAGAAATGATTAATAAAGATAAATGGAGTTGTTGAGGGACTCAGAGACACTATTTCCTTGTACAGACAGGTATCTTAATGAGGCAAATCCTTGGAGAGGGAATGATCAATGATGCCACGTGGCTGTCAATTAATGGTCGATGTCCTCTCAGGTTTACACAATTCTGTGTAGACAGAAATTTTGACTTTTGGGTGATCAAGTTAACAAAAAATTGGGAAATTTTATCTTTACCGTTAAAATTAATTTGAAATTTTATGGGAAACTTGAAGTTAGGTCTTGGGGTGATCAAGTTATAATGAATCTTTTGAAAGATGTTGTCATTAGTTATGGTAGGTTTTCGGTCGTTAGTTTGTATACATATGCAACTGGTTTCACCGTAGGATTGATTCTAAAAGAATTTCCCTGAACTTTAAGGATTACATGTTAGTTTTTATAAATTGGTAAGGTGGTTTCCTTATCAAACACAAATTTCTTTAGATAAACGAATTGCCGCAAGTGTTCGGCAAACGGGGTATGTTCATCTGTTAGGCATTGGCGTGCAAAGGACGTAGGGATGACAAAAGGAGTGAAGACGAAGGTAGACCATGGGCTTTGCCTGACATTGCGATGAATGTTGGGATTAGCCACGCGTCTTTTTGCAAAAAGTACATGGCCTCCGCTGCCATGCTGGTGCATATGGAGCTTTTTTAGGAATTAAAGTGTCACATATTGCAAAAGAAAGAGAACTAGTAAAGGTGAGTGACCATCAACATCTTATGGTGCAGCCTCATCGTATGCAAATTCTGACGCGCCATATAAAACAATATTCACCCTCACTAATAGTGTGCAAACAATTGCTAGATGGCTCGTCTCATAAAACTTGCACTTATAAGTAAAACAAAAAAGTACAATCCAATCATTTAAGACAACCTTCTTCTCTAAATCATGACCAAATTGTTTACAAAACAACCATTCCGAATTGTGCATGACTAGCTTAGCTATTGGATCTCTCCAAATTACCGAGTAAATGAGATTTGCCCATTAGAAAACTAAAGATGTTATCCTCAACCCTAACACTTGTACATGGTATACACACACTTCCTAGTTATAAAATTACAACAATGTCGAAGAATCCTGATATCAAAATAAGCAAATTACTGTTTAGAGTTACACAAATATATATGTACCAACAGCTGACTGTCCAAACTAATGAGCACAAGAAGCTACACCACCAGTGGAGATGGACACTTCAATTTAGGAACTTTGAATGACGATGTGAATAATTTTGGAGTATCCAAGATGGTAGTGACATCAGCCTTTCTCTTTGAACTACTGCTTTCCTGCACAACCCAATTTTCAAGTAAATAACGATTCTTGGAGACATATAATTCATGATTTTTTTGCATTATTAACTGTGATGGGGTTAAAATATTCTAGCATAGGAAAGTCTGCTTTCTTTAATACACATATCCCATTACCCCCATATTTTTGAAGTTACAATGTGTTTGGCTAAACTTAACAAAAAATAAACGTACTTATTTTGACAAGGCTTACTCAAAATCCATATAAAGAAATTTAAAGAAACCTCAAACTTGTCTATAAAATATGTTAAAAATACCTTTTAATCTGTATCCATACTCACCATCCACCCTTCAAACCTTTTTTACACTATTTTTGTGGTTGCTAAGCAATAATCCGAGTATCAATGACACAATGTAATTGGTTTGTTTCTAGATTTAGTGGGAACTGGTTAAACTTATATAACTGCATATTTTTCGTAACACAACTTTAATATGGATTAGATCTTGTAATTCAATCAAAAACATTAACAAAATTTGCAAAAGGCGAAGGAGAACTGACTACCAAATCCTTACCAATACCAACATTTCCGAACCTATGCAACTGGGAAAAATTTATAATAAAATTTAGTGCGAAAATTGATTATCCTATTATACAGTTAGGCCACACACACACACACACACACATATAAGATTTTCATTTCATCGCAGATCTAATTGGACAACCAGAGACAAAGAAGGTGAGATGCAAAGACGACATTGTTATCCATGTCTTTTAACATTCATTAGTAATTGAAAAATAAATGCATAATCATATTGATTTTACATGCACGAAATTGTGGGTTAAAAAATCAAGAGAGGAGACAGGAGTGACCTTAGCAGTAGTCACTTGCTTCCTCAGAGCCTTTTCTCCAGTTAAGTTATGCGTAGTTTGCTTGTTACGAGCCATCTGCAGATTTATCGAACATAGATTACATTAAAACATACACTCCACAAAAAGTAACAAAGAAACCATAAACCTACTTGAATAAATGTAAAATTGTCAAATCAGAATTGATTCACGCAGGAAGTAAATGGAAATTTATAGGGTCACGAAAAGAAAATCATAAATCAGGGCCGAAATAGACATTTTTTAATACAATCAAAACAAATAAACATACAACTTTTTTTGTAAGTTAGGCATTCCTGGAAAATGTCCCTCAAAAATAATTTCAATTTCAATATAATAAAGAAATTTTCTTAAGGAACAAGAATTTTCCACAAACCAGAGTAAATTAAAAAGCCAGAGTTTATCAACCCAATTTAAGAAATCCACCATCATAGCCTATTAAAACGCTAATTTTGACAGACTCTAAAATAAATATATAGTGTATGAATTTAAAACGAGAAAATGGTAAACCATAGAATCTAATATTAAAGATCCACAAACCCATCATTAATAGAAAAACCAAGGATATGTTCATCATCTGAAGAATATGAATTTCACGATGTGTACAACTCATGTGAATTCCTCAAGTAAAAGTCACTTTTCTTAGTATATACTCTGCAATTAATTAGAACAGCAAGATACTTTGTGATGTTGCACAGCAGCCAAACAACACAGAATCTTGCACCAATTACAATGTAGTGGAATCACCTAATCAGGCCATTAGAACAAATGTAAGTATAAGTTCCTGCTGTAATAATCTACTGTGCAACTGTATAACCAAGCTAGATTCACTACATGCATCCAACAATTACCAGTCATGAACTTCACGAGCAAGTTAAGGTCAATCATTGGCAAGCAGAATAGTAACGCTTCAAGTTAAAAATTCATGCCAAAGAATAATAAGATTATCACCTTTCCAAGGTCATGTGAAGAATCTAATTCTTTCTTCACTGTTACAGCCTTCTCACTGCTATTCTTGCCTCTTACATGGGAAGTTCCTGATTCCACCCTGCAGCGTCGTAATACAGGTGTTTCTGAATTTGATCTGGACTTTAACAGCATTATTTCCCTAGAAAGCCTTGAGATTTCTTCGTTCTTCTTTACTGTTTCAGATTTCAGCTTTGCAAAGTCAACTCTCAACTTTTCATTCGAAAACTGTAACTCCTCAGTTCTGCTCACAAGTGTCTTTATCTTCTCATTTGCACTTTCAACTTCAGCACGTTTCTTCCTCAATTGTTCAGTGAGATCGCTCTCCATTGTCTTATACTGGTTCCAAACAAAATTCTTCTCCGCTAACAAAGCAGAAACACTGGAGTTCTTCTCTGCGCTACATTTTTCGATTTCACTTTTCAGTTTCTTAACCTCACTTTGCAGTGCCTTGCGTCGCTGGTGTTCTCCTTTATTGTTCATATCATTTATTATATCCTGCAAATCAGAGAACAATTTCAAGACCCTGTAAAATGGAAAACTTCTAAGTATATCAATTAGATTGTACCCAACATACTTTGGGCTCGGAACATTTCTGAGATAGATAGCCAACCCATTCTACAAAGTCAGTCAATTCATTGTCGGCATTTTCTGCATTCCATAACACAAGTATAAAAAGGTAATTACGATGTCAAATGCTTGGGTAAGTTAAGAAAAATAAAAAATTTAGGCTTGGCCAATCTTAGAGTCATAAAAATTTCAAATCTATTACGGAAATTATCAAGAATTCTAAGAAAACATAAAATTATCCGAAAAAAAAAGAAAAGTAAAAAAGCTTGAAGGCAAAAGAAGCCTACCAAATTTATGCTTGTAAAGGAAAGCCTCTCTCTCCTTCAAACCCAGCATCAATTCCTTTTTCACAGAGTGAACATTTTGTTCCATCTTCATCTGATCCCAAAAATTCCCAAATAACGCATAATTCCTCGAAACCCTAAATTAACTCCAGACAAAAAAAAAACACATTGTATACACAAACAAGAAAAGAACTAATCTCACCTCATGGATAACATCGTGCAGAGATTTGATTCTCTGTTCAAGAAATTGCCTTTCGTTCTGCAGATTCTGTGACATTTTTACTAAAGCATTAAAAACTTTATTCCATTTTTTCTCGCGATCGGTTGAATCGTGGGCGGGCTTTCTTCTTGCCATTCAAAAGATTGAATATACAAAAAGAAAACTGTTTTTCAGGCTATAAATCAGTAATACGGTAGAGATTTGGGGATTTCTGAGAGCAGAGAGAGAAGAGAGTATGAAGAAAATGTAATTGAAGTTTGAAATGAAAGGGAGGACCAACGGTCGAATTTTGGGTTGTTTTATAGGGCTCTCAAGATTGAAATGGATCCAGTTTGTGTTATTTCAAATGGGAAAAATTCATATACTAGACACCCTTCCTACCTGATCTACCATTTCAAAAATAAGAAAACAACTTTTGAAATTTCTAATATATATATATATAACCCATCCCACCTCCAACATCCCTAATATTTCGACGACCGTTCCGGTGACTTCACCGACTCCGACAATTATTCCGACGACTGTTCAAATTTCGGCGACCGTTCTGATGACTATTCCGACTACAATTCCGCCATATTTTTGTGGCCTATACAAAACACGTGACCTGTCAATATTGATCTGTGACCCGTTTATGTTGATTTGTGACCTATAAAAAATGACTGTGACTCGTGAACTCAAACCCATGACCACTGATCTGTGACTCTACAATTTATTCAGTTACATATTATTTTTGGGTCATAAATCATAATTTTTTTACCTCGCAAATTATTTTGAGGTCACAAATCAAAAATTTTGTATGTCACAAGTTTATTCGAAGTCACCAATCAAAAATTTTATAAGTCACAGTTTATTTCATCGATCACGTATTATCAAATTTTTGATCACAGCTTATTTCTTGATTACAAATCAAAAATTTTATAAGTCCCAGATTAATTTTTCGATCACAACTTAGCCCCTGTTTGGCCCCCATTAAATTTCATTATATTACATTAAATTTTTTTTCTCTCTTCATTACAATCA